GAAAGAGGGGGAGGCCTTCAACAAGATGGATTGACATGGTGGCTGTGATGATGGGCTCAAGTATAGCAGGGATTGTGGAGCTGGCATGGGATTGGGTAGTGTTTAGTTCTGCTGTGCATGGGGTTGCTATGAGTTGTAAATGACTCGACGACACCTAACAACAACAACAACAACAGATGGAATCAAATTGACTACATATGTGGAAAGAAACGATGGAGAAGCTCAATATCATCAGCCAGAACAAGGCCAAGGGCTGGCTGCAAAGCAGACCATTAGTTACTCATATGCAAGTTTAAATTAAAGCTGAAGAAAATTGAAACAAGTCCATGAGAGCCAAAATATGACCCTAAGTCTATCCCATCTGAATTTAGAGACCATCTGAAGAACATACTTAACACTTTGAGTAGCAGTGACCGAAGAGCAGACAAGTTGTGGGATACCATCAAGGACATCACACATGAGCAAAGCAAATGGTCACTGAAAAGCCAAGAAAGAAAGAAAAGACCAAAACAGATGTTAGAAGACACTGAAAATTGTTCTTGGATGGAGAGTAGCTAAAGTGAATGGAGGAAATGATGAAGTAAAAGATCTGAGCAAAAGATTGCAAAAGGCAGCTCAAGAATGCAAAATAAGATATAATGAAATGTGCAAAGACCTGGAGTAAGAAAATCAAAAAGAAAGAGCACACCTGGCATTTCTCAAGCTGAAAGATCTGAAGAAAAATTTCAAGCCTCAAGTTGCAATACTGAAATATTCTATGGGTGAAATATTGAACAGTGTAGGAAATATCAAAAGAAGATGGACAGAATACACAGAGTCGCTGTACCAAAAACAATTGGTCAACATAGGTCAACATTTAATCATTTCAGGAGGTAGCATATGATCAAGAACATATAAAAGTTATGTTTATCCTATGCTGTAGTCCATAAGAGTGCAATAGCATTATGAAGTTTGAAATATTGTGAGAACTACCAAAATGTAACATAAAGACATGAAGTGAGAACATGCTGCTGGAAAAATGGTGCTGATATGCTCCCTGATGCAAGGTTGTCAAAAACCTTCAATGTGTAAAAAAATGCTATATCTATGAGGTGCCATAAAGTGAAGTACAATAAAACAAGGTATTCCTGTAAATGGTATTATATAGTATGTGGTCTTTTCTGACTGACTTCTTTCATTTAGCATGTTTTCAAGGTTCATCTATCTTATAGCATGTATGCCTTATACGGCCCACTTCATTCCTTTTTATTGTATATAGTATTCCTTTATATGAATATTGCACTTTCTTCATCTGTTCATCAGATGGACATTTGTGCTATCTCTACTTTTTAACTATTATAGAACATTCATGGACAAGTACAAATTTTCATTTTTCTTGAGCATATCTAGGAATAGAATTTGATCAAGAACTAATGGTATTGAAGGAAGAAATTAAAGCTGCACTGAAGGTATTGGTGAAAAACAAGGCTCTAGAAATTTACCGAACAAATTGAGATGTTTCAGCAAACAGATGCACCACTGGAAGCACTCATTCATCTATTCCAAGAAAGTTGGAAGACAAATACCTGGTCAACCAACTGAGGAAAAAGAAATCCATATTTGTGCCCATTCCAAAGAAAAGTGGTCCAACAGAATGTGGAAATTATTGAATAATATCACTAATATCACAAGCAAATAAAATTTTGCTGGAAATAATTCAGAAATGATTGTGGCCATACATCAACAAGGAACTGCCAGAAATCCGAGCTGGATTCAGAAGAGGACATGGAATGAGACATGTTTGCTAATGTTAAATGTATCTTGACTGAAAGCAGAGAATACCAGAAAGATGTTTTCCTGTGTTTTACTGACTGTGCAAAGGTATTCAACTGTGTGGATCATAACAAATCATAGATAACATTGTGAAGAATGGGAATTCTAGAACATTTAATTGTACATATAAACAATCTATACATAGACCAAGAGGCAGTCGTTTGAACAGAACTAAGGGCTATTGCATGGTTGAAAATCAGGAAAGACGTGTAATGGTTGTATCCTTTAACAATACGTATTCAATCTGTATGCTGAGTAAATAATTCAAGAAACTGGACTATATGAAAAACATGGAGTCAGGATTAGAGGAAGACTCATTAACAATCTAGCATATGTAGATGACACAACCTTGAGTGCTGAAAGTGAAGAAGACTTGAAGCACTTACTGATGAAGACCAAAGACTACATCATTCAGTATGGATTACACCTCAACATAAAGAAAACAAAAATTCTCACTACTGGACAAATAAACATTATAATAGTTGGAAAAAGATTAAAGTTGTAAAGGATTTTATTTCACTTGTTTTCTGGTTACCTAGTGCTGCTCTGACAGGAATATACCACAAATGGGATGGCCTTAAAAGTTTTTTCTTACAATTTGGAGGCTTTAAGTTCAAGTTCAAAGTG